ATGTATATATTTATAACGACGCATGAATATCTATTTGTTACATGAGTTGAACTATAATTATAATTTGTAAATAGCTAACAATTTATTACAATTTAGACTTCTTATTTTGATCTTTTTCTTTTTTAACAGTAACTAAATTGAAGTAAAGATTATAAATTTGATAGACAACAATTAGTTGAAATTCTTTACAACTTTTTTTATCTTTTAACAAACAGAGTTGTGTTCAATCGAAGACATATTGGTTTGATGAACATTAAATATGGAAGAATATAAAAACTTTTCTTTCATGCTTCTGTTTTTTTTTATTTTTTATTTTCAAAATTTAGTGTTTTGATATTAATTCTAGATTTGATCATTTTATTAGATGATAGAAGCCTTTTTGTTTTTAATTCTTTTATTTAAATATATAATATTTTTTAAATAATTGACTATGTGACAATATGACTCTAAATATGATCATATTATATATTTGTATAATATATAATATGATCTCGAACTAAATAATCATGTTTTTGGTATAAAATTGAATAAACTGAAAACCGATGGTATATAAACCAAATCAAACTGAAGTACATATAGATTTAGAATAGTAGTTATATTTTAATAATCAAAATACCAAAAAATCGAGCCGAACCGAAATCCGATATCCGGATTGAACACCTCTAATCCGAATGAAACCGAACTATTGTTTCATTTTTCAAAACATAATAAAAATAATAGTTTCATTCCGCGCAAGGCGCGGATCTTATCCTAGTTCTTTATTAAAGATTATTATAATTTTGTAATCAAGGGATGATAGGGACCCTTTACCTATGGGCCTAAGTTTGCGGGACAAAGTTCCACTAATTATGAATTGTTTTTTTGCATGTTTTGACATCCTTTAATTATTACAAGTTTCTTTTAAAAAAGCAGGTCTCAGAAAAAGAAACGAAAGAAGGTCATAGAATAAACTGCAACCAAGTTTCAGAGAAATATAATCAAATCTTAGGATTCTTTTTAGGTTAAGGTCATGCAATGAGTAAGACACATGGGAATTCAAACTCGACAGCCCAAACCTCAATCTTTTTGTGGCTGAACCCTTACTTTGGTAATTAAAAGTAACTTTTGAATTACCAAAGTATCATATTTTGAAAAAGGAATTTGTTCAAATAACCTCTTTTCATATTTTCATTTGTTAATTAGTACTTTCATAAATGTATGGTCATCTTTGAGAAATATACAAATATGCATTAACTCAATTTTGCTGACATATGTGTGCTACCAATTTTATTATATGAGATGATCAAAACTGAGCCTTCCAGTCTATCCTTGTTGGCTAAGACTCTTATTTAGTTAGGCCTTTGCTTTAGTTTCCTATTCCTTATGGATTGAACTTGATCCTCTTTGTATCTTTTGTCACTTTCTAATCAGCAATATAATCTAGTGTATATAAAAAAAAGAGATGATCAAAACTGATTTGGATTAGAACATTTAGTTGAACACCAAAAAGAAGCGAGTGGACACTGTTTCACATATGATGTTTTCAATTCTAATATATAAAAAAGAACTAATAATTAGTGGCCCTAAAGGTTCTTTTACATGATTGAGGATCCAAAATGTTCAAAGCCGGCTCTGGTCATAAGGAAATTCTCTTAAGAGACGAACGTCCTCCTCGTTCTATTATGAATAATTTGGCCAGACTTTTGTAGACAATCCAAATACGGTCACCACCTTTAGTAACTAAAGAATGAAAAAACGTCTAGAAAGTTTTCAAATAAAATATTAACAAATCATAGAAAGAAACAACGTTGAAAAAGTTTTCACATGACATTTCAACAGAAATTTGACAAACGGTGCCTTAAATAAAGTGGACTGGGACCTTTGAGTAAAGAGTCTAGTGACTAATGAGAAGACAAATACATGCTAATAAAAAGATCGTCTTTGAGAAAGACACATAGGTATGATTATGCTTTGGCACCATAATTTGTCTGGAATTAGTAGGTAGATTTTTTATCTTATTAAACATTTAATTGGCCACAAACATGTGGACATACCTGATTGTCTTTATCACATAGGAATAAGTAGAAAAAAATATTTTGATCGAAATGTTCATATATTCAAAATAGAATAATAATCACTCCAAAAACAAATCTCCTACAAGACACTAATCATACATGTGTTTTTTCAATACATTAAGAACTTGAATGATCATATCATAGTAAAGCAAAGTGACGGCTTCATTTAGCTGTTTGATTTTCTCTTGAGCACAATGACCCAAGTGACGGCTTCCAAGAGCAAAGCTATGCCTCCAAGGCTTGAGATCACTGCAATGTAAGCAGTCTTGTACGTGTCTTGTGGGTTCAAGATGCTGAGACCTTTGAATACATTAATGATCCCGAGGATGAGGATGGAATAGCCGACTCCATGGTGGTAGATATTCCAATAGAATCTGTACTTGTGGTCTTTCTTTGGCCTCAGCAACATCGCAAACATCTAAATGATGACAGAAAAGACAAGAAAGTACTCTCAAGTTCAAGAAACATAGTCAAAAGCAAATGGTAAAACAGAGCCTGATGTTAAGTTAAAAGGAAGTGATAATTTTAACAAAACTTTAGTGATTGGTATGAAAGCCAAAGTGAAGAAGTGCTTTTTCAACTTCAAGAAACATGTCTCTTAACATTAACTTTAAAGGGTAAGAAACAGAGCCTTATGAGATGTTTAGTAATATACCTGAAGGGTGGCAAGAGAGAAGAGGGCGATGCCGATGTTACCGTGGCTGGCAAAGCGAATACCTACGGACTCGCGGCCCAGCTTGAGTCCAGTGGCCCAACCGGCAACGCCAATGACGTAAGCAGAGAACTGACAAGACACGTGGAGGTAAAACCAGGCGGGATCTGCGGATTCAAATATCCTCATGTACCTAGCTATTATAGCTCCGACCGGAAACAGAACACCCCAACTCACGGCATTTAATATCCCATGAATCTGCACAAAATTTAGCTTCAGTTCCCCGTTTCCTTTGTTTTAATTTATTTATTAATTATAAAAAAAAACTCACATTTCTCTTCTGGACCCTAGAACCTCCCTCACCTCCACCGCCGCCGCCGTTGTTACCGCCGTTTAAATCAAGAGCCCCTTTAGACTCAAGATTCGCCGTGTCGAAAGCATGCTTCCCTATCATCCCCTCAGGACTCACTCCTGGACCGACTTGCCAGACCTGATTCACCTTCCCCTTCGCCGCTAAATCCGCCGGAACTTTAATCCTCGCGAAGATTCTCAACGTCCCTCCTCCAGACGCTTCCTCTGCTTTCATGTCCCAAACGTCGAACGCTAGCTTCGACGGAGTAAGCACGGAATAAGAGCTGATGTTTAGCGTCTTCACCACGGCGACGCCTTTAGCCGGGTCCTTGTACGCGACTAAGGTTTGAGCTCCGGCCATACCGGTGGCTTGTGGATTAATCGCCCAAGCGACCCATCCGCCGGGCTTCGACGGCGGAGCGGAGAAGACGACGGCGAGGGTTGTGTTTGGTTTGTCGTAGGAGAAGTGGAGGAAGGCTTTGAGTTGAGGGAGGTCGAGGCAGTGAGGGTAGGTTTTGTCGCCGGAGAATGTCTGTGACTTGCATGTTTGTGAGACGGACGGTGAGATTAGCAGAGCCCAAAGAAAGAAGGAGAGAGAGATTCCGACGGAATAAGAGGCTGACATCTTTGATGGGTTGTAGTAACCGTAATAAAGCTTTTTGGCTTAATAAATAGACAAATAAATAGACAAAACTAGCATGTGTTTAGCTGTTTGGTATTAGATTTTTTTTCAGTTTTAGTATTTGCTTTTTGAAAATATAACAAGACGTTTGTTTGATTTTAGAAGGAAACGAAAAGAACAAATTCTTAATAAGTTTTGACAGTTATTATACATTACACCAAGATAATATTCTTTTCTTTTTGCTTTACATAAAAGATAGAATTCTAAATTATTTATTGAAAATGGTATAAAATCAATTAGACAAGATACTTTTTAACTTAATTTAGACAAGATACTTTGTCAAAAGTTCCATCAGATCACAAAATTTATATCCTATTCCTTTTATGTTCTTGATATATTCTTATAGATAAATCTAAACATATTTAGATAATACTCATCCTTTTGTAGATTCAGTCTTCATTGTATAAAAGCTAAACATGTGCTAGACGAAAGTTGAAGAAATTAACCAATTAAGTGGAATCCGGAATGAATTATGATCTACGATTTTAAAGCCAAAAAGAAACATTTTGGTTCTAATTGTGTTCTCCTTACTGTTGGTCACCGTATAAAGATTACAAAATCATATATAAATTAAATATTTTGAGTTTTTACAGCATTTAAAATTTGTGAAAACTCTTGTCTCATACTAAATGTAATAGTATATCTTCCGGGCATGATCAATATATTTTATAGTAAAATGAATATAAAATATGAGATAATTTTTCTTCTCTAAAACAATAAAAATGATTAGATATGAAAATTCAGGGAAAGCATCATTTTTGCAAAAATACAACTAAAATAGTAACATCTTTCCTGTAGTCTTTTTATTCTTCTCATGTATATTTCTTTCTCTCTTTTTTTTTTTCTTCACTTCCATTGTTATATTTATTTTGAAACTTTTGTTTATAAGAAATCTGAAATAGTAATATTATATAAGTAAATAAAAACAAAAGTGTATATTGATCAGAAATTAATTTCTAGAAGATTACAGAACATCTAAAAAGAAGAATAATCCAACATCATATTTGGTTTGAATGACTTAGAGAATAAACATGAGTCTTCGTCTCTACCACTGTTTCTTACTATTCAATTTTTACATTCTATTTATCACCTCCACTTTTTTTTAGCTTGACTATGCTTTAAGATGAGTTTCTAATCCTTCCTCTTCGAATTATCGTCACCAAAGCCAATAAACATTTCCTACCAAATCGATAATTAATTTAGTCTATTTTTAAAAAGATATTGATCAAATGTATAATGTTAAAAGGATATTGTTAGAAGTACGTTGGAGGAGATAAAAATTCATATAAAGATCAACATGATGCAAATTATGATTGAAGAGTTGGAAATATTTACTCGCACTAACCTGGATTTAATCTTCATCTGCCAACCTTTCACTAAGCCTCATCATTAAAAATGTGTTTTTTCTTTTTCCTTGAAAAAATTCTCTTGAAAAGCATCATCGAAAGCTATTGATTTGTTTGGTTAGAAATTAAAATTTCATCAATCTCTTACAGGAAGGACTAATGGAGCAATTGAAAAGAATTACAGAAAATTATATTGAATGCATGTAAGATTAACTTTCTAAAAAGAAGAGGAAACAAAATTGCAGGTACAGATGAACTAATAGGATCGTGAGTCAAACCTTATACATGAAGAGTAGCAGTTTTAAAATCGTGTGTGATCATGAAGTAGTGGGACAAATATTAGGGATTTTTGTCTTATCTAAATTTTAATTTATAGCTGTTTTCTCTGCAATTAAATTTTCTTTCTTATTTTTATTTTTGTTCTTTAAATTATTAAACATATCCATGTGTCAGAATCTCATTAGCAAGATAACTTGTACTTTAGTATCTAAAAAATTAACATTTTACTTTTAGAACATCTCCAATGATACTTCAAAATGAGGAAAAACATCAAAAAATAAGGGAAATCCATCTCCAATGATACTTCATTTTGAGGGGAAAAATGAGGATATGAACATTATTCCCTCTAATTTGAGGGAACACTATTCACAACCTCATTTTGATGTCAAATTTTTTTTATTTACATAATAATCCTTTACTTTTTGACAATTTTTATTTTTTGCATAAACAAAACATTAACACTAAACATAACTTTTTAACTTTGTATCTAATATGTATATATACATTGAACTTCTTAAAATATTACCAATAATTAATTATTAAAATATAATTTATAATTTATAATTTTATAAATTATAATATATAATTAAAAGAAAATAAAATAAAAAACAATACCATTAATAATACAAAGTTAAAAAACACACAAATACAACATGTAACAACTTTAAACATAAGACAAACTTAATATATAATATTTCTCTCTTCGAAATGCTTTGATTGATCATTTGTGGGAAAAATATAGTAATAGTACTGATTAAATACAATTCTACTATTACTTTGTATGTTGTTTTGTATTTTTATTAATGTAATAAATATTTGCTTTTTATAAGTTAAAATTTGGTTAAATTATAAAATTTTAAAATGAGTATAATCTAAAATCTTATGAAATAAAAGGTGTGATTTGTAATATATAAGAAATTAAATAATGAATATAATAATAATTGAAGAGGAAAATGAGGGGAACCATTGGAGTAAATCACAACCTCATTTTGAAGTTACTTCAGTTTGAGGGAAAAATGAGAGAAATCATTAGAGATGGTCTTATGTATAAGAAAATTAACCGACTTTTTTGCGAAGTTTAAATATTTAAACCCGAAAGTCAGGCCTACTCTAAACAGTTTTTTTTTTTTTACTAGCAAAGTAAAATCCTTCTACACAATGTTTTCTGACTTTCTGTGATTCCACGCTGAAATTTTCAGAACGGCCAACATAATTAAGCCTGGGATCCGGATCATTTAAATAGAGAAGTTTTGGATCCATGTAAAAGTCTATAGACCTTTGGTCTGTTTTTTCGCATCAGATCCAGTTGGGTTTTTATGTATGGGTTATGGGTAAAATGCCAATGACCAAACATAACTAACTGAATGAAAACATTATTGTCTTCAACTAGAGAAAAAGTAAACGACTCTGTTCCCTACCATGTTTGAGATTCAAATGCTGACGACGATTACTTAAAACAGTTCACATTCAAATGAGAGAAAAGAAAATAAGCAGAAGATGGATGCAATCAAAGCTCACTCTTCGTTTTTCCTTCGCTGGATGTTTTCCCGTTCACAGCAACAAGCTCGGTGTCGAATATCAACGTCGCCCCACCTGCAATTCACCACGCATTCACTTTATTTCTCATTGCAATTCAACACACAATATCTTGGCTATGATCCACAACTAGTTTCAAGTGTGCAGCAATTTTCTTTGGCGTGTCAAATTTAGTAAACAAATGTTCTCTCAAGCCTCGTGATTAGATTAGAGTGAGAAAAAATACCGGGAATTTTGGGTGGTGAGCCGTTGTCACCATAACCAAGTTTAGATGGTATTTTGAGCTTTCTCTTCTCACCTACACAAGCTCCAAGTAGACCCTGGTCCCATCCTGCAGCATTTAAATTCATTGCATAACAATCAGTTTCTCAATCCATTGATAAACAATAAGGGGTGTAGTTAATGCGATGCAAGTGCAGAAGACACCTTGAATGACTCGACCAGTTCCAAGCTCAAACTCAATAGGGTCACCTCTCTCAAAACTTGAATCAAACACAGTTCCATCTGTTAACTTTCCCTGCATAAAGGAGAGAGCACCACGTTAATTACCTTTATTTGCTATAAAATATAAACAATTCATTATATTACTAATGAGATGAGTTCAACAGTATCAGCAAATCATCATGCCCCTTCTGACTGACAAATGTGGAACATATCAATGATGTTTCTAGAAGAACATTAGATGTCGCAATAACAAGATAACTTTTTCTCCATGACAAATTCTCTCAAATCATTATAAAACCAGGTAAGCAAGAAAGAACATTTCCAGCATAAGCAGAAGCTTCGATAAGACACTTACCCGGTAGTGGACCTTGATCTTGTCCCCTTTGTGAGCCTTAACATCGCAGGTCTTAGGCTTGAACTGTAAAAATGTCCAAACATGATTACATAACCAAAAGAGTAACAAGGCATGAAAATACAAAAAAAAAAAACAAGTAGCTATTGTAATGATGAGTGAGGAAGATTATCAATTTCTCAAAAGCATGGAAGTTGGTACCAGAATGTAACGAAGTAATTTAGCATAATACCTTGACACCAATCTGCAACTCTGTCACATCATCTGACTTCTTCGCATAAGCTGGAGATCATCAAAATTAACGACATCAGACAAAGGAGATCAGATCAGACCAATGAGATAAAATCAGATCGAAGTCCAGGATGATTAGTTTACCGATTGTTAGAATGGCAAGCAGAACCAAAACTCCAGTAGCTTTCATTGCGGATGCAGGGTTCATCTTCTCTTCTATCTCTGATTTTGATTGATTATTATACGGTACAATCTGCTTTGAGTTTTGACTTTGATAAAAAACATGCGAGTATAATGGGCCTACATCTAAGTACTATATAGCCCACTAAGCCCATATGTAATCACTCGCTCATTCCCACAAGTTGCTCTTCACCTGATCAACGTGTTTTATAAGCATGATTCTTAATGTCCGATCCGCCTAGGCGGCAACTCATTCTTAACCAAAACAAATTTCTTAAAATTCTATTTCAACAACTCAAATTGGTTTAGTTTTAAATCAATCTAAATCTGCTAAATTAATCAATAAGTTAGTATTAAAATAAATCAGTAATTCATATAATAAGCCTCAAAATGATTTAATAGTTGGTAATTCTCTACAAAAGGTCTAATTACTCCCTAATAATTTCTTGAACATTGATATCTCCAAAATTCATTACACTGTACCGTGTCTATATATTTTACAACCATTGAGTAAAATAGTAACCATTATTATTCTCAAGGAGAAAGAGCCATAGTGTTCATCTTCACATACATCATTCTAAAAACATACAAGACAACATGATCTTGAATCCTCCAATATCAATAGAAACCGCAAGAATATCTCTACCCTATCCTGCCACTGACTCTTCTTTAGTCTATCTAGTCACTACGCTTCAACCTGTATTGTATCTAAAGAACATAACATTTAGATACATTACTGAGGTCTAGATTTTCATTTTACCAGAATTACAAGAGCAAAAGACTCTTCAGACAAACAAAACCCAATCATCCCTTACTCAAAAAATACACCTCATCCATCAATTTCCTATAATTCCTCTCCCCCATAACCGGATCTCTCTTCTTCCACTCCTCAAGCAACTCAAGAGCCTCTCCACCCCTCCCTCCTCTACACAACTCCCCCAAAACCGTATTATAAGTCAACACATCCGGAGACAAAGAACTCCCCAACATATCAAACACAACCTCCACCGCCTCACTCACCCTCCTCTCCATCGCAAGACTACAAACCAAAACCATACAACAACTCCCACTCGCAACCATCCCTTTCCCCTTCATCTCCTCATAAAACCCAAACCCTTCTCCCACCCTCCCTTTCTCACAAAGCCCCTTTACCAAATAGCCATACGTATACGCATTCGCCTCGCACCCGTACAAACCCATCTCACGGAACACTCTCATCGCCTCATCAACCTCAAGACACTTGGCGTAAGCCTTGATTATCATGTTCAACACGTACGTATCCGGAATCACCCCGCTCGACTTCATCTGCTTAACTAACGACCTAACCGCGTGGAGATAAACATAACAAACATTCAATTTATTAAACCTCTTGAGCAACGCGCTCATAAGTAAAGTATACGTTTCGAGATCGGGTCTCGAGCCCTCTGACCGGAGCATCTTGTTGTAGACATCGAAGGCGCGATTGAAGAGGAACTTACGGCCGCAGCAGAAGCGGATGATGGTGTTGTAGAGAGGGACGCTCATCTCGCAGGCGCCGGAGATTACTTCCTCGATTAGCGTTTCGGCGAATTTGTTACGTTTTCCGGTGATTGATTGTTTGATGATTGTGTGGTAAGTTTCGTGGTTGTGTTTGTAGCCGCGTTGCTGAGATGTCCAGCGGAAGATGTCGTAAGCGAGATCTGGGTCGGATTGGGAGCGTAAGGCGGTTGTGACGTCGGAGGGGGTGAAGCCTGGTTTTAGATTGTGGATCCATGTTTCGAATTGGGTTTCGAGTGGGGTGCGGGTTCGAAGACGGGAGGGGGAGGTTGGGGGAGGAGATGGGAGTGAAGAGGAAGAGGAAGAGAGAGAGAGGCGAGTCAGAGACGGAGAAGTTAGATTAAGGGAGCGGTTTATGGGGGAGAGGAGGAAGAGGCGACGGAGCATCGTAACAGGGATGGAACAAGAAGTGGAAGTCGTTAGGTTATGGTTTTTTTTTTTTCGGTGTATCCGTTCGTTTTACAAATTGGTTTTAATTACTTTGGTATGCTTCTTCACTCATTTCTTTGTGATTAGTGATTACAATAATTTGTAAAATTGGATTAGTAATTACACTGATTTGTAAAATTAATTAATACTAATTTATTGTGATATTACAATTATGAGTAGACGATTCGACAACCGACAATACTACATCTCTTATAATATTACAACTAGAAATTGACCCGCACATCTGTGTGGATATATTTTTTATTTTATAAATATTTAACTTTGATATTAACATAAATATTTTAGATATATATTTTATATTTAGTGTTATATATATTATGTAACTTTTTAATTATATTGCTTAGTTTTCTTATTACATTATTAATATATTGTGATTTGCTTATATATTTTACTTTTTTATTAATTGTTATTACATTTTCGAGTTTGGTATAGTAGATCTATAATCTAAAATAATCAAATAATTAATCTCCTGTAGAATATCCTTTTTGAGAATATATAGTTGTAGAATAAAAAGTTTAACATATATTAATAAATTTATTTTTGTATAAGAATATTACATGGTTAACAAATTTTAACCCGTTTCAATGTTGATAATCATTTATCTAAATTAAATTATTTTTAAAAATAAACAGGTTACTTTATCAGTTTAATATAATTTTCATATTTAATTTATATAATAATTCTATTTTAATATAATATAGACTATAAAAAAACTTATAAAGTAGAATATATATAAATGTTTTTTTTATAATCAGAAATAATCAAATAACACTCTTTCTTTAAAATAGATTTTTTGAAAATATATAGTTGTAGAATCAAACGTTTAACATATGTTAATAACTTTATTTTTCTAAGAATATTTACATAGTTAAAAGATTTAATCAGTTTTAACTGAAGATAATAATTTATTTAAATGAAATTATTTTTATAATAAATTGGCTAATTTACTAATTTAATATTATTTGTCATATTTAATTTATATAATACTTCTATTTAAAATAATATAGACTATAAGAAAATTTATAAAAATATAATACGTTTTTTATTTTTGTTTTATATAATACTTAATTAATATTAATTTAAAATAATATAATATTATATTATATTATTAATTACAAAATTAATTAATGCTTCAAACAAACATATTTTAAAATTTTAGTAGGATTCTGTTAGATTCTTTCTTAATAGATTTTGTTATAATTAAAAATAAAATTCATATTTATGGTTGCAACTGATTAATTATTAATATTCTTATTGAATATTATGTTATATTATGTAACTAATGAAATATACCTACTATGACTCTTGTGCAGTAGATAAAAAACAGTGACTCTATTTTAATAGAGTAGATATTACATCTCTTATGATGATCTACAACCTAACTGCATCACATGGTCGTCCAATGAAAATTTACGTATGGTCGAGTTTACTTACACCATACTGAAAATCTTTGTATTTTGAATTTACTTGCATCATGCTGAAGATCCCTTGTACACCTTTCCCTTTCCTTCATCCATGTATAATTGTTTAATAAATCACTTTTGCTAGGAATTGAAACCTCGACCTCCTGGTATAGAAACATTAATGAACTTTCGATTACACCATTGGACTAAAAGGGTTTCCACAACTATTTTTTCTTAAGAAATTAACTATAGTTGTTGTATATGAGGAGGTGTCTTGACACAAGCCGGCGCTGATACCATTTCTGATATATAAGACATCTTTTTCAGTATGAGTCGAATCCATGTGACCGTAGTTACACTCGCAACTTTTTTGCTATCATAACTAACTCATCATAATAATTAACTACTAGATAGGATCCACACTTTGCATGGAGTGAGATATTTAATCTGGTTTAATGAGTTGAAAAGGGATTTATGTAGGATTATATAATTTGTAGTTATGTGCGGTTTTGATTAAGAGTGTTTTTTTGTTAGGATTTTTAGTTTTTAGGTTAATACAAATTAGTATCCCTATTACATCAATCTATAATATTTTTGATTGGTTTATAATGTTCTATTTTTTTTTATATACATAAGTCAACTATTTATTTTATTCGATTTAAAGTACAATAATTATTTATTATTACCATTTAAAAATATACAAAAATTATTGATGAACCAACACATGTAGAATGTTAAGCAATATGAGATACTCTATATTTAAGCAAACCAATAATAGAGTAGTGAAATAAAAATAATGTGTGATCATAAGATTTTAAATCGGACCCAACAAAAAATATTTCTTAAGTTTTGAATATCTACATGGCTATACGGATGCGATTCCAGAAATATAGGAAACATTAACATTTCAAGGTATATCCTCCTTAATTTAACTGTCATAGTTAGGGCTGGGAATTATTATCCGGGATTCAGATTCGATCTGAGATTTGCTCTATATCCGCTCTGAAAATAAGATCTCTGAGGCGTCCGGATCCAAATCCGGATAGAAAAATCTCGGATCCGAATCCGGATAGTAAAATCTCAGATCCATGCAAATCGAATTCAGATCCGGATATCACAATTTTTAGGTCTGGATCCGTTTTTCTAAAATATAGTAATTTTTAGTTTTATTAATAATTATATTTGATATATTAAGTTTTATACATAAAATTGTCTTATAATATTATATTTTAAGTTTAATAATATTATATATCATAAATATATTTATAAACTGTGTATTAATATTTAATTTATGTATTATTTACAGACTTTTGTATTTTGTAAATAATTTTATTTATTTTTTATTATTTTTACGGATCTTGATTTGAATCAGGATATCCACAGATATTACAATTTCTAGACAAATATCCGAACTCCGGATATCCGGAAGACAAGAATCCAAATCCGGATACTAAAATCACGGATCCTACAAATCCGGATCCGGATACTCTAAAATTCCCGGATATCCGGATCGTCCCACCCCTAGTTATAGTAATGTTTGCACCATAGTAAAAATAAGGTATATCTTTTTTAGTCAATTTATAAAGAGATCTTATATTACGTGATGGAACAAATCAATAAAGTAATTCAAAATCATAATAACTGAAATAGAAAAACTCAAATACCAAAAACCATACAATCCAAAAACTGCTATATATTATAATATGTCGAAGTGAACTTTTAAGATGATAAAAACCTTCCGACCCGATTGGATCTGTTTGTTGCTAAGCCGCCATAAAAAGATTTTCTCCTATTCTCGAAGAGGGCGAGGTGCCATAAATTTTTCTCCTAATATTTTCATATCAATATAATCGTGTATACTAAGAAAACTTATTAGATTTAAAGTCGTAATTTAATTAATACTTCTCTTGAAAAAAAAAATAGAATCAAAGATGAAAAACAGTTCAAATTCACCCGCTCCTTTTAATGTTAATCTTAACACCCTACATATTTTTATAAAAAAAAGAGAGTCAGAACTAAAATACATTATCATCCAAAGATGCACAATTTTATAAAGCAGAATATGGATAACTCACGTTTGAGTCGATGAGAATCATCTCAACTGTTAGGCCTCTAATAGTAGAATACTGCTTCCACAAACTAATGATCTCCACCATGATCTTCCACATAGACATAAATGACTTCAGATCAACCACAAAAGTAACTGACATTTTTTTCAGTATCGTATTTATTATTTGTTTGTCTAAATATGAGCTACTCTATATTTAGGCAAACAAATAATAAAATAGTGAAATAAAAATAGAAAAAAATAATGTGTGATCATAAGATTTTAAATCCGACCCAACAAAAAATATTGCTTAAGTTTTGAATATACATACGGATACGGATGCGATTCCAAATATATAGGAAACATTAATATTTTAAAGTACATCTCCTTAATTTAATTTTCATAGTAACGTCGGTACCATACTAAGAATAAGGTATACCCTTTTTAGTCAATTTATAAAAAAAAACTTTATATTACTTGATGGAACAAATCAATAGAGTAATTAAAATCATAATAACTGAAATAGGAAAACTCAAATACCAAAAACCATAAAATCCAAAACTTCTATATATTATAGGATTTCAAAGTGAATTTATAAGATGATAAAAGGTTTCCGACCCAATTGAATCCGTCTGTTGCTAAACCGCCATAAAAGCTTCTTCTCCTACTTTCAGAGGAGGCGCAAGGTGCCATAAACTTGAATGGCTTCAGGTCAACCATAAAAATAATGGCAGCCATTTTTTTTTCTTTCAATATCGTATTTTCAACAATTTCAGTTATGAGGATGAAAAAAGCGAATAGGAGAAAATGGTCCAATATAGGTTTAATATACTTACAGTGGTAACATAAAATCTTTGAAAATATCACATCATAACACAAATATATTAATCTTGCTAATCACTCTTTATTCAATGTATTACCATACCACACACCAAGAATATACACCAAATAAATATTACCTTGATAATCACTCAACACATACGATATCGGTATGTCTCTCATTCATTACCAGTTTAATATAGCTGCACTGGTTTAGAAATGGTACGTAAATTAACAACCACAATATCATTATGGAAATTGACAACTTATCATATTCAAAAGAAAACACACTTGATTGTAAAAACGTTTTTCGAGTTAGCTAAAATTGTTTGATCATTCGAAATAGTTCAGCGGTACAGAGAAATGGAGACTCAATTGTATTATGATCAAATTGATCATTAAAAAAGTCACGGAGACACTGTAAACACAACATAGTTTTCTATTATGACTCGAACCAACATTGACCTCAAGTAATGAGAACACCGAGCTTTTTTTATGGGAACACTGCAACTCTCTGTGGATTGGCTATACTCGGCGTGTGTTCTTATCCAATCAAAGCACACGGGTCACACATTTGAAGTAAGCTTTGAGCATCAAAAGCACAAAACATACTCTTTACATACTCTCTGAACTAAACAAACCAAATGCATGGAAATTTTTCAACTGTCAATGAGAATGGCTTTAATCTTCAAAAGCTACTAACCTTTTTGTTAAATTC